TAACCGGCACCGCCGCCGCTCCCGAACCCCCCGTCGCCCTCTCTGGCCTCCGCTTCTCTTATCTCTTTGCACCGGTGAGATGTATGAAAGCGCCTCCAGCAAATGAAGCACATGCTGTTGCTTCTCATTCCAACTATTTGGACAAATGGACATGAGCAACTACTTTTTGGAGTCATGGAAAGCACAGGGGCAGTCTTACCTGCCCTGCCACAAGTCCAACGCCCTCAGAAATAAGAGTAACGACAACAGGGCAAGCAAACCACATCCTTTTCGAGCTCTGCGGCACTGGGCTGGGCCCTAGAGATGAACCAGGGTTTCAGCCACAGAGGCATGGCATTCAGGTAGGCACTTTGTAGCCACGTCTCTGGCCCTAAAAGCAGACTGGACTAGCAGCCAGAGGATGAATTCAAGAGTTAGACATCAGGTGCTTCTGGTTTGTTTTGCACGAGCACAGTGAGGTGACTGTATCTGTTTGTCGTCGGGCAAAGGAGAAGCAGCTGAGGTTTCGTTTTCTCTCCGTTTTCCAATTCGTTTCATTGTTTCGCAAGCACCACGACAGATCCCAACCTGAACGCCGCACGCTGCCCTCGAAGCGCCGGCTGGAGCGTTTTACCTGCTGAAAGCTGTCCCGCAAAAGCTGCTGGTCTTCCGGGTGGCAGAAATCCACAATGTCTTTCCCCAGCAGTTCCTGATTTTAAAGGAATTGGGAGAGACATCAAGTGGGTTCATCAGGCAGAGCAGCCTGGCCCGTTAATTCCATTTTGGCCGGGGGGTTTCTGCTCCCCCTGCCCCACATCCCCGTGACGCAAAGCGAGCGCGGGAAGCGCCGCGTTGCCTTTTGAAGAGAAGCGCGACAGCGGTTGGCTGACGTTTGATCTTCAACTCAAATTGAGGCGAAAACGACCTTAATTGCCATTAGATGTAACCCAGAGCCCTCCATCCCCCTCTCAACGATCAAAGTAACCGGCGGGGGAGCAGCACGTCTGCATTTTGTTTATCAGATCTGTTCGACAAGCAGAGCCAGGAGGTGGGAGAGAAGGAGGAGGGAGAAGTGAGCTTTAAGCTTCCTGGGGAAGTTCTCTCACCTGGGGCTGGTATCCGACCGTGGCCACGCACCGGTGATCTATGAAGGTGAAGATGCCCTCGGTGTTGTGTCGGGAGATGAACTCGGTCGGCTGACAAACGTTGTTCATGTCCGTGCAGTTGGGCGAGCTCGTGACCTGCGAGGTGTAGCGTTACCCGACGGGCCCCGCTTTTTTTTTGGGGTGCTCGTTTTCGCACGGAGGGGTTTACTTTTGGGTTTTTAGGTCCCCACCGGGAGCCTGCCGATAGCCACCAGGCAAAACTTGCTGCCCTGCCCGGCGTCCGGGTCATCGTCAGGCAGCGAAACGCCTGAGAAGAGAGCGCCAAAAAATTCCAGCGAGGTTAAAACAGGAAAAATTGCCACTTTCAGAGGAAAAAGACGGGTGGTTCTGACCTCAGTGCATCCCCCCACCCTCGATATCTGTTCCCACAGTGGAATTTGGTAAATTAAGCTGCCTCCCCCTCCCTTTTTTGCCAGACAGGCCCAAGATCCACATCAGCTGGATCTCCAGGTTCTCTGCTGTCCAGAGACACAGCGCTCTGGCCCAGCACCCACAACCCTCAGTTCAATCTTAAAACAAGTCAAAGTGGCCGAAACAACTAAACTTCACAGAACTGACAACTTCAGACCACGTGCTCTTAAAACCAGCCCACTGAAGGCCTTACCTGCGGGGGGCCAAGCTTTTATGTAACCCGTGCAGTGCACCACGACGTAGTGAGGTTCGCCGTCTTTTGCTGCACCCAAACCATTCCTTGGGAGAGAGAAACAGTCTGATTGTGCTACAAGATTAAACTGGGGTAAGGTTGCTACTTGTATTTTTTTTAAAAAAACCTTCTGCGGAACGTCTTCAGGACAAAAAAAAAGAAAGAAAAAAAAGAACAGACTTCACATAAACACGAGAGGTTTGAGAACTGAACAGGCTGGAATCTATCCCACTTTCAAATGAAAAAGGGACAATGACCACCAGAGCCCGGCCACAATGGTCTAAGGAGCCACGTGGTGTTAAATTGATCCTGGAATAAAGAAAGGTTAATCTTTCCCAGGATTGTCTTCCTCATCGTGGCGGGACGTCGGCTCCTCTACGAGGAGATCTCTCCAAACCCTTCCAGGAGGAATTCTCCTCTTACCTGCAGCGATTCCTCATAAAGCTGAGACGATTTACAGAGACAGCATCCACCGAGCTGTTGCCACACCTGTACCAGAGTGAGAAAAGCGAGGGGAAAGGCTTTTACCTTTCTTGGTCAACATCAAAACCATCCCACAACCTCGATAAATAAGGAGGAACCTTTGGATCTCCATCCCAAAAGCGGAAAGCCCTCCCGCTACTGACTTCAAGGGAGGCGACCCACAGGGTCAAAACAAATCGTGACTCGAGCCTGGATCTTCTACAACAGTCTCTTAGCGTAGGGCAAAGAAAAATCTCCGGAACCTGACTGCCAGCTCCGCGGGGGAAGCTCACCCACGTTACGGCACGTCA